AAAAAAAAAAAAAAAAAAAAAAAAAGACGATATATATGATTCATCTATTGGGAGAGGAAAGAAAAGTGTAGAAAGATTTCCTTCCACTTCAGATCATGAACTGTAGGAAAAAATTCAATGTACATAAAAATATTAGTACTATTCTGAACCAAAATAAAACTTAAGATGATTTATTCAGTAGAAAAAATTAGTAGATTTAAGGAGAAATCAAAAAATAGATTATTTTACAAATATAACAAAACTCATTGCAATATTTTACCTAAGTAAAAGTTAAAATTCTATTACATTATAAAACAATTCTTAATATTTTTTTCTACTTATACCGAGAGTATGCTTTTACTTCATAGTGTCTCATTTTCAAGTATGTAACCATTGTCTTTACTGGTCGTTATGCTCACAAAGACTATTGCTAGAACTCATCATTTCCCCAAAATAAGTTATGTTAACCCCAAATCAGTAGATTTGAAGATTCATTGTAGTTAAAATTAGGCTCAGAAAGGGCAGAAGCCCATGGTTTGGGGCCTTTGTAAAAGGATGCACTAATGCCGTGTGACAAGTAAGTACAATTCAGTGGCTCCTTAGTTATTTTAAGCAGGAGGCCTCTGCGGAGGGCACAGATAAAGTCAACCCAGAGCCCCAGTGACCCGGGCGTGTGGCCAGAGGTCAGGGCCCAGGGGCTCTCTGGATTTTTTTCCTGTTCTGCTGTATGGAGTCCTGTGTGGAGGTTACAGTCCCTGGCTAAGGGTATTTTATTGGTATAGAATCTGATGTGAAATGTATACAGTCTTGTTACCATAATCCCACATTGCGTTTGCTCAGCAGAAATAGTTTTATTTTTAAAGTAGACTTATTGGAGATGACTGTTTATTCTCAGGTCGGGGAGTCTGTCTGGATTCTGTGTGGTTTTTTGTCTGCTTTTGTTTACCCCAAATAAGTAGTCCTGATTCTTGGAAGTGATTACCACACCATCAGAAGAGAACGTGGGTATCTTCTGAACAACTCATTTTTTCCTCCCGTTTAAAAGAAGCAAGTTGAAAATGAAGGACAGATTTCTCACACTTCTTGCACTTAACGTTTTCACTCCCAATTTTGTGACATAATCAGAATGACCAAAGAACATGTGTGCTAATTCACGGCAGCTGGTAGATCTGACTTTGGGGAACGAGTTATACCCCGCCTTTGTCATTTAGGGCCTTTCACCAGCTAAAAGTCCTGGGTGGAGAATTTTGTTAGGTGACTGTAAATATGCTGCCTTCAGGGTCCTGCTTGGGTTTTGTCATCTCCAGTGGAATTACACTTTACCTGTCTGATACTGAATTCTGCCCTAGTACAGATAGCACGGCAGCCTCGGGAGCAATAGCTCCCATACAATCCGCATAAGGTCCTTACTAGTAAATGATGCTTTGACCCAGAAAGTTAACAGATGGGGCAGTGGCTGAACATGATCCTCATTTCTTCCTCTTGATAAATGCTAGTCCTTGCTCCACACAGATTACACAGATATCTTAAGATACCCTCTAGCAGTGCGAGATGGTATCTTAAAATGTTACCTCAAAATGCATTTAGGCAGAGAAATTGCTGTAGAGACCTGGCATGCATTGTAACCCAGGTGGATTAATTACTCTCCCATTGCTGAGACACAGTACCTGACACCTATAAGTTGAAGGAGGAGAGGTTTAATTTAGCTCCTGCTTCCAGGAAGTTCAGTCCACGGTCAGCTGGCTCCAAGGCAAGTATATCACAGCAGGCCGGGCGTGGTGGTTCACGCCTGTAATCCCAGCACTTGGGAGGCTGAGGCAGGAAGATCACTGCGAGTTTGAGGCCAGCCTAGGCTACAAAGTGAGCTCAAGGCCAGCTTGAATTGCATAGTGAGACCCTGTCTCAAAAAGACCAAAAATAGGGGCTGGGGATTTAGCTCAGCGGCAAAGCGCCTGCCTGGCAAGCGCAAGGTCGTGAGTTCGGTTCCCGGTACCAGAGAAAAACAAACAACAACAAAAAAAAAGGACCAAAAATAAATAAATAAATAAATAAAAATTAAAAAGACACTTTTTTAAGAATATCATGGCAAAAGGGTGTGGCAGAGCAAGGCTACTTAGTTCATGCAGGCCGGGAAGTAGGACGAGAAAGGAGAGGAAGGGACTGGGACAAGATACAGTACCCAAGACCACGCTTCCATGACCCAGCCTGACACGCTGAGGCTCTTGGTGTACTAACCGTCTGGGCATTTCTTCACCCAGCGAAGTTGACAAATCAAGATTAATGGTCACACCAGGCAGCCGGGAGAATACATGAATGATTCCCACTTGCCATACTGCAGTGCCCCTGTGTCATGTCTGAGCATGGAACAGTAAGCGTGGCTTTCCTTCTGGTGTGTCCTCGGCTGTACATAACTGTGAGCCCGCAGCGAGGAACGGTCGCCCTAGGAGGGTAAGGGATCCAGGCACATATTAAACTCATAAGTATAGGAATTCCCCACCTACAAGCAGGGTGCGGATCACAAGTTTATTTATAGTTAATTATTTGGACCCAGAGTGCTTTTCCCATAGTGTGTTATACACGAGACCCGTGTTCCAGCCGAGCCCAGAGGCCCTTTTAGCCGTCATGTATACCTGAAGCACAGTCCTGAGCAGTTAGAAAGACAGCAGCCTGCGCCCCTGTGTCGCAGTGCTTCTCGCCTTCCGCTTGCCCTGCCCCACCCCCACTCTCCAGGCCCAGCCCGGCCCCGCCCAGCAGGCAGGGAGTGGTTGATGAGGCTGCAGGTGCCCATCTTCGCTGTGACACCTGCTGCTCAGGTGGGAAGCAGAAGGAGCACTGTGGGAGTCTTCCTGGAGCCAAAGGGGAAGGGCCCCTGTGAGCCACATTGTCTGGGCCGGCGCCTTCCGAACTGCAGAGCGTCTGACTCCCCCGAGACTTGCTGTACCTGCAGAATCTGGTCCGCGCCTTTGTAACAGGTCCCCAGACACATCGTGCAGCAGGAGAGGGAAGTTGCAGTCCCCACAGAAGAGGCGTAGCGGGAGAGAGCCGGAGTCCACGCCCTGGGCAAGGGCTGTGTCCGCTGAGCACCCCTGGCTGGGTGGGAAGGGGCGTCCAGCCTAGGTGCCATTCAGCCCTGGCAGCATCGTGGCCTCATCCCCTGAAGAGCTCTCGGCCAGGGCAGGCGTTCCACATGGCACAGCACTCGGCCTTGGTGGAACCAGGCTGAGCAAAGCCCTGGCCTCCGCTGCAAATGATCCAGCACGCTGTGCTTTGTGAGCCACGCCTGGATGAACGCTGAGAGGGAGCGGACCATCTAGGAGCCTCAGAGCGCAGATCCTGGGGCAGTGTGCGACACCCGGGGGAAGCACCAGTGGTTTCTGATTCAGGACAGAGGACGACTGAGTTCTTTCCTCCAGACTCCATGCGGCAAAACAGTGAAGAACTGGCTCTCGTCCTGTCGCTGTCACTAATGAGCTGTGTCCTAGAGCACCTGCCCAGGTCCTGTCTTTAGCCCGATCTATAAAGTAAAGCTGAGTGGTGTGGCCCACGCCTGTCATCCCAGCCCTCTGGGAGGCTGAGGCGGGAGGCTGTCTGAAAAATGAAAAAACTGAAAAAGGGATGTAGCTCAGTGCAAAGGTCCTATATTCAATCTTGAGTACTACAAGAGAAAATAAAATACTGTGAGGTGAAAGGACCTTGCTCAGGAGGTGCTAGGGGGCTTAGTGAAGTCGCCCTTGTAAAACGCAGCGTGCCACAGAGGTGGGAGTGTTGAGCCGCGTGCTGTGACTTTGCAGGCATGTGTCAGATTGCCTTTCCGGCGCTTATTACTGTGTGTGTGACTTTGGGCCACTTGCTCTGTCTACACCTCAGTCTCCTGTAAAATGGAAATAGTAAGAGGAACTTCTTGGGCTGCTGAGCGGAGAAACCAGGTAGCGCGCCTAGTGCAGAGCTGGTCCTCAGTCCTCAGAGGTCTCATGCAGGGCAGGTGACTGTCCGGACAGCAGCAGTAGGCTTCACAGACACCCGTACCCCTTGTGTGAAAGAAGGGGGAGGCTGAGGAGGAGGCCGAGGCTCCCGGCAGCCGTACCCGCCACCCGCTGCAGCTGGAGGGGCCGGGCTTGTGCGGTTCAGATTTAACCTAGAAGGGAAGAGTTAGACAGCCACTGTTTGGTACCCGCTGTGCATGGTCTGTATTTACGGGCTGTCAGCATCTGCTTCTTCTTCCTGATTTCCTTGAAGGTTGAAATAGCAGACAGTAAATATACAGAGATGCACGTATGTAGGATGTCAAGTCCCGTGGGGCTGTATGATGCGATTTGTGTCATCAGATGCACAGTGTTCAACACAATTACTGTGGTGTTTGCTCATGTGTAATGCTTCATTTTCTCCTCCAGATGAGCACCATGCCAGGACTGCCCACTCGGCCCTGCTTTTACGACATAGATCTTGACACGGAAACGGAGCAAGTCAAAGGCTTGTTTTAACGTAACAAGGCCCTCGCAGGACCTGATCCAGGTAGGCTGTTGGGTTTTTACCCCACCCCCACCTCCTTTGGCTGTTCAAATGCTTTCTGTTTTGTTTCTCTGAAACTTGTTATAAAAATGAGCCAACCAACTGAGCGTGGTGGCACACGCCTGTGATCCCAGCACTTGGGAGGCTGAGGCAGGAGGATCAGTGCAAGTTCAAGACCAGCCTGGGCTACACAGTGAGCTCAAGCCCAGCCTGAACTGTGTAGTGAGACCCTGTCTCAAAAAGACAAAAAAAAGAAGGAGCCAATCAATAATTTATCTTTTTGGTTACTATAAGTTCCTGCCTAACAGCTGCCCATGACTTGGGTCCACTCCCAGGTGTGGACATTCGATTAGACGGTCAGTCCAGGGCCCTTAGTGTTCCCACACTTGAGTCCAGTGGACCTCCAATCATGCCATCACCAAATACGGATTTATTTAGAGCATCTATGCCCTTAACAAAGGAGCCCAGTGAAATCAGTGAAATCGTTGTTCTTATTCCAGAAAGGAAACCAAGATCTGCAGTCACCTCAGTAACTTTTCCCTTCCTTCCCCGCATCTCTGGGTGCAGTTAGAACCTGGTTAGAGGAGTCTTGGTGTATCCACCCCCTGGGGCAGCCATAACAAAGTACCACTACCTGGGTAGCTTAACACAGCACAGATCTGCTCTCCTGCGGTTCTGGGGCTGGAGGTTTGTGGTCAGGCTCTTACCCGAGCAGGTTGTAGTCCCTCAGGGATGTCACGGGACCGTCCCTGCCGTGCAGCGGCATAGCTTCACTCTGCCTCTTGGTCACCTGGCTGTCCACATGTCTCCATCGTCACGTGGCCTTCCCTCTCTTTCTTTGGCCTTTTTTTTTTTTTTTTTTGAGATAGGGTCTTGCTATGTAGTGTAGGCTGGCTTGAACTTGTTTATGTAGCCCAGGTGGTCCTCAAACTCATGGTGACCTTCCTGCCTCAGCCTCCCAAGGGCTGGAATTACGGGTGTGCACCACCACACCCCAAATTCTCTTTCTTATAAGGACACCTGTCAGATTGGTTTCAGGCCCAGGTCGATCTCAACCTGATGACTCTTCAAAAGACCCAGTTTCCAAGTAAGGTCGCTGTGGCAGGTGCCAAGATTAGGACTCTCAACGTACTTGGTGGGGGGACGTTTAGCCCCTGACACTTGCCTGTGGCTCATGGGTAGTGTGAGGCTCTTCTGGATGGAAAGACACATCCAGACAGGCAGATCTTCCAGCTCAGCGCCCTGTGGGCAGAGGAGGGACAGGGCCCCGGATATGAGGGCGTCTGCAGTCATGGTCCCCATGGTCTAAGAGGGTGGAGCTTAGCCGGGCACAGTGGCCCACGCCTGTAACCCCAGCGCTCTGGGAGGCTGATCGCAAGCTCTGATCTCCAGTAGGAGGATTCCAAGTTTCATCCCAGCGGTGTGGTGAGGCACCGTCTCAAATTTTTAAAAACTTATAAAGGCTGAGGATGTAGCTGAGTGAGAAGGCCCTGGGTTCAGTCCTCAGTCCCACGCCCTCACCTCCAGCACAGCTGTAGACTTAAATTTCAACTCGAGGGCAGCCCAGTGCCCAGGGCTCCTGGCGCCTCTCGGGGCTGCAGCCACACCTGCTGGCTGTGGTACTGCCTTCCCCAGATGCGGAAGAGGACCCCACACGCTCATCCTCCCTGGAAAGCTCCCAGGCAGAATGGGCTGCCCTTCCCATGCCGTGCCTCACACGTCCTCGCCGTCATCTCCGGAGACCGCCTTTCCCCCAACCCCCGCGCCCTTCTCCCCCTCGCGCCTATGGCTTGGCCCAGAACCCCTCTTCCTTGCCAACTCTGGGCCTCCGGCTGGGCCAGCTTGGCCCTGCTCCACGTCTGGGCTGGGCCCCACGCCACACAGGGTCCCGGTCTCCGGTGCTGTCGCTTCTGGTAGTCCGCATGGGGCCGCCCCCGTCTTGGTTAAGTCTTTCCTGCTAAAACACTGCACACCTTGCCTGTGAGGAGCTAGGCACCTACATGACTTTACATTCAGACAGGGTGTGGAGCTGCGTGTCGGTCTGGGAGGTTTCTGTATGTGTCTGCTGCCGAGGAACTGGGGCTGCATTCACTTGAAGCCACCACCACAGGTTTTAGCTCCATTATTCCCAAAAAAGCAAACACTGGAAAATGAAATAGGATGACGAGTTTCACAAAGAAACCCATAAATTCGCACCTGCATAACAGTGCTATTTTGCTCTTCTGTTATGACTTTCCATGTTGTGAATGTCCTGGATTTCCTGGGTAGGCCTTGGGGAAACAGCAGTGTCAGTCCTTCAGAAAAAAACATTGACCCTTGTCCTAACCTCTTCATGTCAAGAGTCTCGAAAGGTACATTTCCATCCCTTGTCTCCGGAAGTGTGGACAGCCCTCTCACCTGTCTTGAATAGAACTTTTCCAGCCTTTTGGTACACTTTCATTTGCTCTCCAAGGAGGTCACAGGAGCCCAGTTACACCGTGATTATCGCAGTAAAGACACGAGTGACGTGGAGGGACGTGCCCTTCACTGACACACAGGTTCACGTCCTTTATTGCTCGAGATCCCTGAGTCTCCTGACGTGTCACGTAGAGATCAGAGGAGTGTGTGGTCAGGACTCTGGACTGCGGTAATTCCCTCCCCTGAGCCCCGCACAGATGGCCACAGCCCTCTTCGAGGCAGGTGTTGTCTCCCGTGGCCCCTGAGGGGCGCGGGCTGAGGGCTGGCCCAAGCTGCGGGGCTGCAGAGCTGCCCGCCCGCTGCGTGGCGCTGCCTCTCCTTTCAGGTAGCCCGTGTCGTTATGTCACCTGCATCCACAGTGCTGGCGTCAAACCAGTGCGCTAGGTGGTGTTGAAGACAGTTATTGGAGTATTAAAAGCTATGACTTTGTCCCAGCTCTTCATAGTCGAGTACCATAGGGCTGTCTCTTACTTAGCTCTCTGTTTGAAGGGGAATCTCCCCACCCCCACCCCGTTTATCCGAGCCTGCCCCTTTGTGAACTGCTAAGTCCTGCTCTAAGCTGGCCAGGCGGCAGTTCCAAACGCCTCATCTGACACTACTTAAACAATGGCACGTAGATCCAGTGTCCTAAGATAAGGCTACTCTCCAAAGCGAACATTCCCTCTCAATGACTCCTTGATACAATGATCCAGCAAACATCCTATTTCCTGTGCCTCTCCCGAGGAACCAAAGACCATTTCTACTAATAGCCAGAGGTTTGGGGACATTAAAAATGCATAAAATAAAAGTGTTAAATCTTGGGCAGCAGTCAGCTTGGACCATTGTGGATCAAAAAAAGAAAATGCAGGCCGGGGATAGAGCTCAGTGGCACAAGCACCTGCCTGGCAAGCTCAAGGCCCTGAGTTCGATTCTCGGTAGAAAAAAAAAAAAAGAAAGAAAAGGAAATGCCTGGTCCATTTGCTTTGTGGATCGTCACATCCGTTATTCCTGGAGAACTGAAAGGAGCCATGGAAGGAGAGGTCCGGACAGCTGATGACCACTTTACTTCCTCCCCCTCCTTGCTTTCCTGCCCACCTCACCCACTAGGAAATTGCATGAGAGCCAAGAAATCCCCAGAATTTGAGCCCTGGCTCCTGGTCCCAGACCTCCCGGGTGCTTTCACTATTGCTAGGAGAGGGCATGAGTCATTCTTTTGGATGTCACTAAACAGAACTAACTACAGCAAATGCTTCCTAGTGAAGCTGACCCGGCTGTTCAGCCTCTTGTTTGATGGTGATCGTTTGCGGGGGGCTTGTGTCCCTATCTCTTGTTTCTCAGTCTGAACCTGCGTCGTATTTCTGAGCCTCGGCAGGGTTCATTCAAACAAACACACGGTACAGTCTTACAAAATCCCTGAAAAATGCAGGTGCTCCCTTCCTTCATGCTGACGTCCACAGTGCTGTGTAGTGTGGGATCTGATTCCTGTGTCCTGTTGTAAGTGTCAGTTAGTTACCAAAGAATTGCTGCTCTGGAGTGAGGCCCACAGCACAAAGCATAGCACCAGCTCGTCTCATCCCTAAATGCCTTGAGGATGGAAATGATCAAAGATGCTTAATGATCACAAATTAATGTTTAGTCGGGTCGCTTCATGCCGGCCCTTCTTCAGACGGGGCCTGTCCCACCCCAGCAGAAGCAACGCTGAGAGCAGTGGGCCCTGTACCAGCAGCTCCAAAGCTGCTCATCACCGTTATGCTTCAAGGAAGAGGGCAGTGACCTGAGCCCTAAGGGGCAGCACACCCGACTCCTGCCCCATTGCCAGGCAGGGCCAAGGGGGATGGGAGAGTCCCTGGCATCTAAAAGACAGTGATAATAAAACCTCTCCTATCCAACTAAAATGAGATCTTTCAAAGCTAACGTAACAATTGTGACATCTTAACTCCCCTTAAACTCCCTGCTAAGGATGGTGGTGCACACATATTCTCAGCTACTCAGGAGGCTGAGGCAGGAGAGTCCCAGGTTTGAGCTTGGACAACTTAGAAAGAACCTGTGTCAAAATAAAAAGGGCTGGGAATGAATGAAACTCAGGGTTCAATCCCCAGTCCTGATGAAGGAAAAAAAAAAAAGAAGAAAGAGAGGGAAGGGGAAGAGAGAGAAGGAAAGAAAAGGACAGGAAAAAGAAAAGAAAAAAAGTTTTGATTTCTTTATAATTCCCATACCAAAATAGCACATTTCATATATTCTGTCTTCCAAAATATTTCCTATAGAATAAACTTCTTAAAGTGATTCTTCCCCTGCTGAGTAAACAGTCGATTCATTTCATTTGTAATCAGACTTTCGACACTGTTGCCAAGCCTTCAGGTTTCCTGACAGTGTGGGACCCCAGACCGGAGGCCTCTTGAAGCACAGAACCGGGCCCTGTGGTCACCACATACATAGCAGTCTCGCCTGCTACCCTCCTGTGTGGAGGGCCCTGTCCCAGCCTTGCCTTGCCGGGCTTGGGGTCCTCTGTGGTCCCTAGAGCCCGCCCTCTGCCCGGTAGCCCCCTGCGCCCCCATGTTTCACTGCCCCTTTTGTCCTGCGTCACTAGAGCCGCTCGGGGGGGCAAGGTCTGCACCAAGCAAACCTCCCCTTGTCACCCCCTGCCTCGGTGTGCGATGAAGCATCCCCTCTGCTGCCAGCCCTTTCAGGTATGGGGGAGGCGAGCGTGCTGGCTTGCAGCAGAGCAAACTCTCCCAGCGGCAGATAAATCTTCGCAGGTATAAACTCAGATGAAAGCCCATATAAGTGCAATCACATTTTTCCTGGAGTGGTGAGCGTATTTGTGTTTATTGTTTTTTAAATGTACTCTGATCGCTGTCTTTCAGCAAGGTTGGGGGGTCACAGATGGGCACAGAGCCTTCTCTGGGAGAGAGCAACGAAGCTTTAAATAACAGCAAGCCGGGGGTCCACACGCTCCTGCCTGGTCCCAGGTGCGTTTTCAGACCTGCTACAGAAATTCAAAGCTACCAGACTTCCGGTGCTGCCTGCGGGGGGCCAAGCTGACCCAGGGTCGCAGAGCGGGATCAAATCTGAGCCTGCGTCTCACAGTGAAACCCTGCACAGGGACCCCAGCCTTGCTCTGCAAACAGTAGTTGCTTCTCTGCTCTTGAACTATCTTTTGGCCTCAGACTGTAGAGCTATAATACAGTACTGGCCTAGCACCAAAGGAAAAAGCCGGGCCGGGGATATAGCTCAGCGGCGCAAGCACCTGTCTGGCACGCGCAAGGTCCTGGATTCGATTTCTGGTACCAAAAAAAAAAAAAAAAAAAGGAAAAGGCGGTTCTTAAACCACTGGGGAAAAAAATTTTTTTTTTTTTTTTTTTCTGTTTTTAGGCTCCTCAAACACAAACAACTCCTTGCCTTTTCGCCGCAGTTGGAGAAGACAGTGAATGTGAACGATGCCTGTTACGCAGTGCTGGGGAAATGGTGACAGAGGCCAAAGACTTCTGCGTTCAAATTGTCTTGCTGATGTTATTTGCAGCAGGCTAGTGTGCAGCAAAAGGCCCTCCACTGAGTTTGAAAGAAACTAATTTATTTTCTGTTTCTGCAGAGTTTACATTATTTCCCACTGCTTATACTTTAGAATGTTTATTTTACGAGGACTAAGGGATTACAAGAGTGTGAACTAAAAGGTAACATTTTCCATTATGGTGTTTCCTATTTTGTCCATGTGTGTGTGTGTGTGTGTGTGTGTGTGTGTGTGAGTGTTGCTGGAGATGGAACCCAGGACCTTGCACATGCTGAGCTACCACCCTACCACAGAGCTACACACCCTATTTTGTCTTTGAACTAAAAATAAAGAAGGATTTAGAAATCAACCAGTGGGTTTGCTGTGCCAGGTAAAATTACCCTTTGAATGCCACCATCCGTGTGAAGTTGGTGGGATCGTTACCTGACACTAATATCCTTGTACCGTGTAAATGAAATCAGAGCTTTATGAATGTGGCAAAGAGAGAAAAAAATGCATAGAGAAATATCTGATCAATTGTGAGGTCTTGTAGCTGCTGGAGAATTGTGAGGTTTCTTATAACAAAGCGTATAGTCTGTCCTCCACTACTTTCTGGTGCCAGTGGAATTTCCATCACTTACCACGAACAAATGAATTTGTGTTTGTTTCTTCCACCGGTGAATGAATCCCAATGGCCATTACTCTGTGAGGCCCGCGGGGATAGGAAAAGGAGCTCGTAAAGGTCCGGTGTTTGGCAAATGTCTTTGGCCCAAGCCTTAGTTCCCAGTGGAGAATGTTCCAAAGCCTGTTTCCCCCTCCTGGGATTTGGTGGCCCTTCTTTATTTCCATTTTCCCTACAATAATATAAAATTATATCAAAGCTGAAACAAAAGCAAGGATTTGGGAACAAACAAGGAGTGATTGTCCTCTCAGCAGTGTAAGTAAAATAGTCACCATAAATATCCCAAAGGACCCCAGGCACATCCTGTAGGACCCTTCCTGCCGTGCTCTTGCCTGACCCCCGCTAATGACCCTGCTTACCCATAAAATATCTTTATGCACAATTTAGTTTGTTCCAAAACACTGTTTGATAGCTAAAAAGCCTCCCCACTCCAAGGCCGCCTGCCCCAGTATAATGTCACTTGGCAATTCCAAGTGTCCCTTGCTCTCACCCTTTCCTGGGGACACACCTCTGTGCAGATGCGGTTCCTGGTATTTTCATGTAAATCTGTGTGACAGTTAGGCGCGCTCAGGGAGAGCTTGTTCTCCATATCACAGTGCACTCAAGAAGTAGTTTGTCTCCTTGTGAACTGATTTTTTTTTAAGCCATTGCCTTCTGCTGTACAGGTTCCTCTGTCGTTTAAAGTTTCCTCTCCATTTCTGGGAGTGTTTTCATGAGAAGCATATTTTAGAAAACAGGCTGTAGGCCAGGGGCTTCTTTTCTTACTGGTTTCACTACGCAACTCCACAACTCCCAAAATCGAAACACTTCCCGGCTCTTTTAAGCACTCACCTTGGAAGCCCCTGTACCACAGGTGCGGTGTGGACTCCAAACCTCCCTGGCGGTGGTCGTACTGGCCCAGGTGCCTCCTGGGGGCCTCCCTCCTTGCCGCTTTCACTGCCCTTGGGGGTGCGCACCTGTTAAGGGCCGTGCTTTCTCCACCCGAAGAGAGCCCCCTGGCAGGCTGGCGAACGGACTCCCCACTCGCAGGAACGTGTCTTCCCGGACTGAGGCAGGAGAGTCAGCCGGGGCATAGACCCACAGGCTCTGCACCCATCGAATCAGCCAACCAGCAAAAGAAAATACTGTATTCAGGGAAAACTGCCTCTCTGCTGAATATGGTGCACTTTTTTCCTCGTCATGATTCCCTAGGAAGTGCAGAAGGACCACCATTCAGACCGCAGTGGCTTTGTTTTAGGTATTAGAAGTAATCCAGGGATGAGCTGAAGTAAGCAGAAGGCTTGTGTGGGTTTCAGGCAAATGCTGCGCCCTTCTGTATAAGGGTGGGAGGAGCCAGTGATCAGCCATCTCTCCTGAGGCCACGCCCTCTGAGCCACGCACGGTGTCACACACCTGTACTACGGGTCCCATGTGGCTCCACAGTGGAGTTCGAGGCCAGCGTGGGCTACGCAGTGAGTTCAAGCCCAGCCTCAGCTACATAACAAGCTGTCTCAAAGAATAGTAACAACAACAGCAATTATAAACATACCCTTTTGCCTGGTGAATTGAAGTTAGATATCTTCCCAAGAAGGGATAGATGGTGATCACTTTGGGGCTCTGTCGTTGAAATGTACAGAAATGGTGAGGGGCCCCCGCTCCCCGCCAGGGCACACAGATGACTGGCCACACCCCTCCTCTGCCTGCTGGCCAGTGGTGGCCACACCTGCAAGGGCAAGGTCCCGGAGGAAAGAGTCCCCATGGAGAACACACTGTGAGGACCAGCTGGCAGCGAGCAGGACAGTGACAGCACGACAGTGACAGCCAAGGCATTCGCTAATTGAGTATGCGTGTGTGTGTGTGTGTGTGTGTGTGTGTGTGTGTGTGTGTGTGTGTTGCAGGCGTTGAACCCAGAGCCTTTCATATGCTGGGCTTGCACTCTACTGCTGAGCTACACCCCCTCACCCTGTGAACGCTGGTCCTTTCTCACCAGTGTTAACCAGAAGGTGCTGATTCCATACAACAATATGGATGCCTGTGTTTAAATTAAAAAGTAGCCCTTTACAGAGTTCCCTTCCATCTGATACTAACCAGAGTTCAGTTTTCACGTCATGTACACATGCTTGCAAATAAGTTGTTATACTAAATTTACCTTATTTATTCCAGGAAAACCCACATACACATATTTATACATTGTTTTTGTACATACTTGTATGCACGAAGGAGTAAAGGGCATTCAGATCACATTTATTACAATCCTATAATCCACCTACTCCAAAAAAAGTTGAGCATCCTGACGGAATAACTGATCAATAAACAGATCGTCATGCAGTGCCTAAATTCCCAACATAGCTGGGACACCCCTCCCCCCACAAAAAAAAGCTGTAACAGCTACCCTTTAAGTAAAGGTATGGACTAGAATTCAGGGCTCTTTGATTTTGAATAACAGAAAAAAAAAAAATGACCATCTTTATTTTCACTAACCTCCAGCTGGAATGTAGCGTTTCCTTCTATTGTGAATGTCAGCAGCAAACCACAGCAGTATGAGAGCACCTGTCTCTCGCCGAGATACTGCGTAACAGCTTCTGGAGACATTCACAGCAGCACTTATGCTCATCACTACCTCAGCATGATGGTACTTAGCCCTGCCACTTGCCTTTCTTCGTGTGTAAACAGAAGCACACATTTTGGCTGTCACCAAATCTGGTTGCCTTTTCCATGTGTTAATAATCACATTTCACGCTCTTCGGTTTGTTCCCACCCACTCACATCTGAGTGCAGGCATTAAAAATACTACTCAGGGAAAGGACCCACAGGCTCCCGGTCTGTTCAGGGGGCTCCGTGACACAAAATTACGACGCCCTGTCCGACATGAAACTCCAGCAGCCTGCATCCTGGCTCGGGGCAGCATTGCTATCTCTACATCTGTGCTTCGGGCTGTCCCTAAGGTCTCCAGGCCCCTGCTGCAGGACACCGAGCTGCATCTAATAGAGATTCTTGCCCCGAGGTGGCATGGGCACCCTGTCACCGCTTTCCTCGGCCTCACTCTGCCAAGTAGCAGCAGAACCAGACACAGTAGAGCAAGTGGAGATGCACAGCTTGATTAAAGGATCTTCCTGGAGCCAGCTCCGCACATGTGCGTGGGGAGGGGGGCCCTGTGTGGCTGCAGGTGCTGTCCAGCAACCAAGTCCCCCCACCTCATCCCCACCGCCAGCTCACAGGACCTCCGCTGCACACGAGTTCTGGGAATCATAAGTTTTACCGCTGTACATTTTCATGGTAAAGGATCTTACCCTTGTTGAATAACATTTTTCATTCACTCATTCACTCATTCATTCTACAAACATGTATGGGCAGCTACCATGTGTGAAATAGAAAGTTTTAAGAATATGAAGCTAGGCATGGTGGCACACACCTGTAATCCCAGCGCTCTGAAAGCTGAGGCAGGAGGATCTTATACTCACACCCATCCTGGGCAACTTTGCAAGACCTTGTTTCAACATAAAAAATAAAATGACTAGGGGTAGAGCTAGGGTGCAAAGGCCCTAGGTTAAATCTCTAGTACAACAAAAATCCAGGAAATCAACATACAAGGTCTGTACCATAGAGAACAGCTCTTTTGATGTTCTTCACTATATCCCCTCTCCCTCCTCCTCCCCCTCTCTCTCCAGGGTCTTGCTAACTTCCTAAGTTGCCCAGGCTGGGCTCAAACTTGCAGTCCTCCTGCCTCAGCCTCCCGGTGTGCTAAGGTTACAGGCATGTGCCCGCATACTCAGCTAGACTAAATTTTCAGATCAAAGGATCTTGCTTCAGCCTCCCAAGTAGCTGGGATTACAGTTGTGCACCACTGTGCCTGGCCTCACAACTATTCTCCCCGCACCCACCTCAGAGACAGGATCTCACTATGTAGCCCAGACTGGCCTCACAGTTGCAGCAATCCTCCGGCCTTGGCCTCCAGGGTACTGGCGTTACAGGCGTGCACCACCATTCCTGGCTTGACAGCTATTCTTTTAAAGAGCCATTTGTGTTCAAATCTAGCTGTTGACCACTAAGGAAATTTGATACGGTTTCAACCACCTAGTTTTCAAGAGCTAGGCATGATATTTTTTGCCAGATCCTATGAATTTCCTAAGAACAAGTCAGTGTCCACAGGCGAGGTCAGATGCTGCTCACAGCAGACAGAGCAGACTAACTCACCTCTGTGCACTCCTGAAAGGTCAGTCCTGGCGCGTGGCAGCTGTTCGGGATACGCCACCGTCAGGTGCGTCACATTCCAAACCACACTCTTATACAATGACCCTAGAGTCGGGTTCAAGGAACCACTTTTCAGACCGTTGGGCCTCCCTGAAGGTCTCAGATGGCTGATTTCTGTGCCAGAAGGTAGACGCCATGAACTACAAAGGATGGAGCAAATACTTTGCAAATTGGAGCGAGATGTATAGTTCAGCCTTCAAGATGAGATGGAAAAAAAGAATAAAATTCTTAACTCTGCCAACCCTCTTACGTGAGCTTTGTCAAAGTAGGTAATGATCCTAGGCAGTT